ACTTAAGTGTACTCTCAAATGTAACAGAATCTAAATGCCCAGTAGCTGTTCCAAACGGATGCTTTCAATAAGCACAAGATATGCTAACTAATGTATTATAGGAACAGTCATTACGTCAATAGAGGACAAAACCAATTCACAAACTCAGCCTCTTATTAAATTGCTTATACAAACAGTCGTGAGGTTTTGAGCAAAAAGATTAAAAATTAGTAGTATTGCAGAAATTAGCATAACAACGGTTGCGCTCCCTGATCAGCACACACGCATAAAGCTAGTGTGCATGAATTCTCATTGATTTACGTAAAGGAATTGTCTACTTAGGGTGCCAAATGCGAGAAACACCGTTAAAATTAATCACAATGAATGTAGGTTTAAGACTACATTGCCATAATGCTTAAGCTGAATCCTCTGATTTATCTCGTAACCAAGCCGGTCTTAATTTTGGCAACGAAAATTAACAGCTTTCTGTTTGTTTCGCACGTAATATATTTTATTTAGCAATAAATTTTGGCTTGCCGTCACTCAGTCAAATTTACATTGGGCGCAAACATGCCTGTTTATCTTAAAACAATGTGTGAATGTCACTTTACCCCCTTATTGGATTTCAATGCGCGAGGCTACTTAGACGCTTTCCTGAACAGTTGAGTCAATTACACAAAATAGAATTTCGGTGTTGTTGGTTCATTTGGTGAGGTTTTTTGCTTGCTCACTTGGCACTCCGGATGTTTTATTTGCTCTCCATCAACTTACCGAGTGCCTGCGCACACGATCAGACGTAGCGTGAGGGCCGGGCATTTCCCGGGCAGGAGCTGGAAGGAGCGCTCGGCGGGCAGCTCAATCTAGATTTATGTCGCTCCACTCAAGCCTCCCTCCAGCAATCGCCTTACTTCTTAAACGGTCACGACAGATTCTAAACAAAATTACTTTATCACGATAAGACAGCTTTTGGGATACGAATTGCATGCAAATAATTCTGCCGTTGTTGCCACAATCAGCAGTGGCACCTCTATTGATAGTTTTATCTTCTGTGCAGAAGGGCATAGAAAATGGGTTCTTTTGAGAAAGTTATCTTTACAAATTTTGATTTTGGATTGTGGTAAATGATTTGATATGTGAAAATTTGCCAAAAATTCAGTGACTTAGTGAGAACTTGCACTTGATAAAAAACATTTATGACGGAATAACTCGTCCCGTCGACGGGTAAATGCTTTAAGGGGAAATGATTTCATCTGACTTTTAAATCTAAGTCAGACTGAAATGGCTAATTGCGTGCACTAACAAACACCGTCTTGTCTTTGCATTCCTAATTCCTTGTAGTTATAGAGTTTGTCTAACTCTATATGCGGCATTCCAAATTAACAAATCTTTGGTTCAATTTCGTTGCTTAAAGAAATTCAAGGCACGGGATTTCAAGCAAACTAACTTGTTATTCAAAGGTCATTCTCCAGACGATGACTTGATGCTGAGTTGTATTCTAGGAATACACTTGATTTAAATAAATTTTTAATGTACAATAAGTATTGGTGTGTCCATTAGTTATGATTTTGTTCAGACTATACAGAGACTGTTTTGAAGAATTAAGGAGCGTTACCGAAAGTCAAGATTTGGAGTCTTTACTAATAACAAAACGGGAGTAGCCTCTTGAAATGTGCAAAATTAAAAAAAAATCCTTTCTCCTAACTACTAAAAATGGACACGACCAAACGGTTTGTGTGAATGTGCATGATTTTAAATGCAACAGATTCAACTGATATTCGGTTTTTGAATGCCTACGCTCATAATAATCTAACTTTTTGGTTATGAATACAAATATCTCTGCACTTTCTTAAAGTTACATTCACAAATGGAGTCACGGCCACTACATTAAAAACAACGACGTTTTGCTCTCAATATAGTCCAATGCTACGTATTCAGTAGCGTGTGCATATTCTTTACACATTTACTATTTGTTTTGAGTGAACGCTTTACCAAGTTGTATTTAGGCTCATTTCCATTAGATGCGGTACTACGCCTTCCTTGGATATATGAGGCCTTAACGTCAAACAGCGGCTCGAAAAGTTGAAAAACTTCCCTAAATAACACACCTTTTGTCTGGTTTATGATATTTGGCCCAACCTGTAATGCATTACTGCAGACTAACCACACACGTGTAACAAAAACAACCAGTCTTTTAACAGAAACAACAAAAATGAACGGCGCTCATTCAGATGTAAAGATTTTCTAACGAATCAAACCTTTGTACAACATCTCAAAAAGGTCGACAATTAAAGCAAATTCTGGCCGTACTCAAGCATTAGGTTCTGCTTTTAAGTAACACAGAAATTTACAACGACTTTCTAAGTGAGTTGGCCGTACATTGAATGCGTATGGCTATGATTGAGTTGCTTAGCTATGGTACTGGTAAGACCAATCATCGAAGCGAGTATTTGGGTCATTGATCCGTGCAGAACCATTTTTTGCTTAAGTTTTAAAGCAGCCACTTGATGAGCAGTGCTTGAGGTTTAGCAAAGATCAGTTTAACAATGTAAGTAGTTAAGCTAAAGGGTATCTCTTTGAGACTTGGTTTGTTTACATCATTTTCTGCTTGTGTACCTCATCAAGCTGTCTTAGGGAAGGCTTTGACTTCCACAAAACGTTGTCAACCCAGTTTCTAGCTTTTTTAATGGCCTTGCTTTTTGCATCACATTGCAGAGGGTTCGGCTTCATAACTTTCGTTGACCCCAGCGTAGTTGAAAGTGTCCTAAATGATGCCCCGCACACTCTCGATTCAAAGAGGGTAAGTCTGATGGGATCATTCAAATTCTTCAGTCACATCTTTCCTAGTTCTCATATCGTTTCACGTTGCATCCGTCACTTATCATTGTGACGCAGCACCTGGTTGGCACAAAACGCCATCTTTTAAGACCTACTTCCAATGGCTTAATTTAAATGTCGACGTGCCCAGAATTTAGGATTATTCATTGAAGTTTGACTCATTTGATCGATTGCTTGCGTAAAGGAGTGATTAGAGCATAGTCATAGAATATCACAACAACGTAGTCATCTCTAAGGTGATTTATGTAATTTAGTTAAGCAGTCACTGCATTAACATTGAACACAGCTTTTCTCCTTCTTTAACTATTGCCGCTGGTATAGAACTCATCAGACCGATAGCATTTCTTATATTTTTATTTTAATTGTGCCTTCACTTTTCATTGCAAAATAACTATCATTTGTCTTTGAGAGATTTTTGACAATAAATAATGCCCTGTTACTGGTACTGTTTCGAAACTGTTTTTCCTTATTTAAACGTGGTTGTACACTATAAGACATTGTTAACTTGAACATTTGATCACTTTTATTACCAGATGCCAGGTAGAAAAAAATCCGTAGGCGACGACTGCTCCTTTACGAAAAAAAATCGTGAGGAAGTGGATGTGACACCTTTGTTTGAGGTCACTTTCGCGTCATTTCGTTAGTTCGGGTTTTCATTTGCCCCCAAAATTCGTAGTTCATATATAGACCTTTTCTAACAAAGGTATATCAAAGCCCCGTTTCGTAAAAACATGCATCTGTGTGCGAGTATGTACCTCCGACAAGAGCTCAGATGTTCCTTTTTCTCTTTCCTCGAGGAAGTGAACTTAATTCTTAGTTGGATGGGTGAGCTAGACCCCATGGCTCTCTGCAAGACCTGCCTGACGAGCAAGAAGCATTCCTACTTCTTCCAAAAGTATTTGCTTTATGGCAGAAACTTATTTCTCTCAACAGAGTTTGGCAACCGTTTTAGTGGTTTTCGATGCTCTGTCTTATCGTCTCGGCATTTTCTGTTGTGATTTCTGGTGGGCGAGGCAGATGTTTTTTTCGGAATTTAACCTGAGGTCACGCCCACTTCCGTTCGTAACAGAGTGAGCCTTTGTTAACCACGCCAGCACGCAGTAACAACATCTTCGTTACTGTAGCAACAATTTTACTGGATGTCAAGTAGTCAAGTCATCGCATACCGCAGTATTTCCTTATTTCAAAAGACCTGGTAAAGCGCATGCAGTAACTTTATTAAACACTTTATTTCCTAACACAGGACGGTTTACGGGTCATTGTAGAAACTATAGTAGCATTGTGTATTTTTTGTTATAGGTTTTAAATCATTAGCATCCCAATTTTATTATGTTAAGTTAGTTTTTACTTGGCTTTTTTAGATCGAACCTAAGATCGCTGTTCCAAAGCAAACGGCACTAAAAGCAATTGCAAATGTATGTTTTTTGGCCGCGCCAACATTTGACTAAAGTTTTTTGTTTCGATTTTTAAAAAAAAAACAGGATCTTGTGTCTGATAATTTGGCTGCTAACGGATGAGATTTATTCGTGATATAATTCATAAACCATCGATTAGAAAGACGTCAGGAACCTAGGAAAGTGCGAATTAACAGTTGTGATGTGTGATGCTTAGAAATATCACATTTCTCTTGCCAAATGCTAAAATTGTATAATGAAATGCAATATTTTTGACAAGGCATTTCTTTCTGTGTGCTTTAAAAAATACACTGGTCTGCGTTCGTCAATGGTTATTGGTGAATATGACCGCTGGAAAACTTATATAACTTTCCGTTTGATGTGATTTTAGTCATTCGAGGGGATTCCCAGGCATAAAAAGAGATTTTAAATGAAATTTAATTGAACCACGGATTTTTACATCACTAGTTCACGTCAGACGCAAAGTTTCAGTGGTGTCTGATTAACCTACAAGACGCCCGCATTAAATATTTAAGAAACGCTAAGGTATTTAAGAGCGCGTTTGCCACCAGTCAGCAAGCTAGCGAGGAGACACGCACGCACCATGACCTGACCTCTTCACCATCAAATTCGATTCGCGCCGTCAAACGAGCGCACACACACGCACACCAATTGGTGTGACCTCGAGCTATGATCTGGCCGTTTGTGAAAGCACACACATTCGATTTAAACTGGCAGACGGACACTGTCGTGCGTGCTCCTTAAAAGTTTTTCTTGTACGTAGAGAACTAAATGAGCGCTTACAGACACGCAGCCCCACCTACTACTGGAAATAAACGGCCCCTCTCACCAAATTATCTTTCTCATTCTATCGCTATACCTATCTCCTCTGCGATGGACCACTGTTCCGCCACATATCTCGCCGCGCAGGCACTCTCACGCACGAAAAAGGTCTTCATCGGAGGAGTCGCAACCTCGACAACAGAAGAAGAACTCAGTAACTACTTTTCTGAATTTGGAAAGGTGAGCTTCATTATCTAACCCAATGCTTGGCAGTTTCGTTGACATGCCTTTGTTACGTTTTAATTGTGTTCCCCATACAGGCTTCAGGACTCTATCGGTAAAGTGCGTCTTTTGATTTATTAGATTAGCTTAGCCACTAGATTATTTCATAGCTACCAGCGTAATTTTATGTAGTATAGGTTACTAGATGTTTGTGTCCGTGTTCAAGCATCATTACCATAAATTTTATCAATTTTTAGCTAAACGATAATCAATAGTCGTCAAAAATTTATCAACATTAAGACTAGAAACCTATTAATATTTCTATTTGCATGCAGGTGAATAGACTTTAGCTGACACCCACATTAAGACGTCTAAGGCAAAAACCATTTAACGACTCGATATTATTCAGGGAAATTCGGCATTTCAGTATTCGTTGGCTACCGCACTTTCACCAGCAAGCTATTGAACTTGGTTCAGTTGCATCCTCCTATTATGAGCATTGTGCTCAATTAATTTTTTTGCAAGATTCGTTGGAATGTTTAGGCAGTTCTGATTTCATGGTTTTTTGACCAAGGTGGAACAAACATTTTATAGCAATGGCCATAAGGTGATTATGAACTCGTGTTCGGTCGTAATCTTTAAACCAAGCACTGGTGGTTAACTTTAGTAATCCTGTCAATATTTATGGGCTACCTCGTCAACTAGAAATGCGTGTAAAGGCACAAGCACCAACCGTTCATTCAGTTTATTCTACAAATTATTACGATAGCTTGCTCAGTTGCCACTTTCTTAAATGGCTGTACAATGATAACTGTTTCGAATTAGCTAGGGAATTTGTTAGATTTTGGAAAAATAAAAGGAGTCAAATCATTTTGCAATCGTTCAATCAATCCATCCACATTAATCCTCATCGTTGCGGGCATTACTGAAAAGTGAGAAAACGAATAGTTGTAATCATGGAAAGTGAGAAAAAATTTGAATGAAGGCATTCATAATGTGGAAAACATTTGCGCAACAAGCTGAAAACTCGTGAGCCTCGTTGGTGCTTGCATCACCTAATTAAATCTAGAAGATTTCTGATGTGCACCTTTTGTGTTGACTGTCTAGTTTTGCTTAGTGTTTCTTTTCAAATATCCTTGCCACCATTTTTTTAATGTTGATCTGACGCTTGCTCTCCTTCTCTGAAATCTTCACTTTTCATGAAAACTACCACTCCTGGATGCACCCACCCACACACACTCCCCTTAATTGCATCTCTTAGTGCACGGCTAAAGCAATAGCCTTAGGCAAATTTTACTTTCTAGCCAGTAACGCTGACCCGACGACTAAACATTGCCACTGGCTGGTTTTTATTCTCACAATATTGCTTTAAAAAATTTTTTGAATGCAATGCAAGCTTGTGAATTTGACTGAAGATGAGAAAAAATGGGTTATTGAGCACTAGGGTATTTACCGAATGCCACTGACAATTTAATTGGATGTGGCATTAAGATGAGTTGGAGAAATAGGACTTCCTGAAGGCGCTTTATTTCAGAAGTTAATTGAAGAGCCATTAGTGGAAAATGCAAACACCTTGAGAGGCTTGGATCAGGCTGTCGTTGGGACAGGCTGACGTGCGCGGCGCAAACTGCCGCTGTCGTTTCGCTCGTTTCCTCTGCAGAGGCGAGGGGAAAGGTGAAAGCACGAGGTTCATGAATGACTCATCGGAGGCGTATGCGCGCCGTGCGAGCACGCTTCATTACCGCCGTGGCCGATCAATACACGTGACTTCTGCATTCCAGCTAAACGCCTTTTAAGCACGTTCGCAATGCAATATATTTACTTGGCATTTTTGCTAATCAGTTTCGTTCAACTTACATTGAAATCAACAACTCACTAGTTGCACCGAAACCAGGCTGCGAGGTTGTTCGAATTTATCAGCAAAGATAAGCTGCAACATTCCAAATAACCGCAAACTCATTTACATTAACCCTGTGGTTACCTCGTGCAACTATTTTAGGTTTTGGTTTGTTGTTATATCGGACTTTCGTCAATGTACTGTTGATTACCACGGAGACTTTTTGTTTTTAACCTATAACTTTTGGTGTTGTGCCCACCGGTAAAAATTCCACCAAAAATGCGCGATGGCTCATGGGACAAGTGTTCATGGCCCAATTTTAAGACTGAAATAGCCTCCTGATGATAATTGTGTGGGTACATTACTGGATATTACGGATCTTGAACTTACTGGTTTTATCGTGGCATGCATTATTAGCTTCTGTATTAGAAATAGGTTGGTTTATCGTTTGTAGTTGATGTCGTTGATGAGTAACAATACCTGAAAGTATTTCTAGGAGCTATGGATAACTAGATCACTAAGCGAAAACAGGCAGCTTTATACTTTATCGTTATCAGGAAGACTTGTCTTTTGAGATTTTAATTTGTAATGTTACCTGTGAACGAGCACTATACGTCGGTGAGTCTGAATGCTTAGTGTGCGTGACACGCCGGAGCCCATCACTATCTCTCGCCAACATTGTAAGTATTTTTGGCTGCATCCGATAACTTAACAGACACAGTAAATCCTAAGCACACGCACTTTGAATGAATCTGGCATGGTTTTTCACTGCCTTTATAGAAACGTTCCCTCCTATTCAACGTGGCTTTTTTTCTTACAAAACAGTGTTACGAAAGGCAGTTATTCGTGTGCTTGAATGGCCTGCAGCGGATGCGCACACCTCTAAAAGGAGCAGACTGTTTTTCTTAGTGGTGCAACGCTAGGTCCTAAGCACTTCAAATTCCAACTTTATTAAAAGTGACGACAAAATACTTACTATTTGTCGTTCCACTGTAACCCATTGATATCGTTTAGACCAATTATTCGCATTTTGCATTCACCGTGTCAATTCTAACTCACTTTAAACAATGATCACTAAGTTTGGCTTTAATGAAATCTGTATTCTAGCGCAGATTTCGTCATGCGCATTGACATTCCTAAGGCAAGTATTCAAGAAAATTATAAATGACATTTTACATTGGTACTTTTTCCGAAGGTAAAACTATTCTAGCTGAAAGCGCCTAAAGTGCAATAATCCATCAGATTTTTAGTAGGCGTTCCAGTAATTGTGCAAGCTTGTTTTGCTGTAGTGACGAGAAAAGTAATTAAACTAGGTCAGCAGAGGTCACGTCCATTAGTAAAAATGTCCCTTCTGCAATTTTGCGTGCGACAATTTGGTGTCTAGCTTGCGCCACCTATTTGGAAGTGTTGCCTGTCATTGACAATGACAGGTTCATCTTTTTTTAAAAAATAATATTTTTCTGGGGAGTTTGTGCTAAATCCCAGCATCAGATGGCTTCTTTTAGATTGCATGTGGTGCAATTTTGACAGGTTCCGTAAAAAGCTTCGTTCGTGATTACGGTGGAAGGCAAAGGAAATAAACATAATTCATAGATTACAATACTCCCTTTGTTTCAGACAAATTAGAAGACGCAATTGAGTATCCGACACGGAGCACTTAATGATTCTATCCAACTAATTCTTGGTAGCACCTACCAAAATAAGTCACCATTTTATCGGGATATAGCATACCGACTATCAGTTTGTCAGTACTTTAAACGTACAGGCGTGAGTTATTCACTAAACGGAGAGAAAATAATCCGTGGCAGGCTGATCTGCATGAAATAAAATGGCCAATCGATTTTATCTGTTCTCACTTTATTCAAATCGTTTATTCACTATAGATCGAGTCATGTGAATTGATGATGGATAAGACGACCAATCGTCATAGAGGTAAGCGTGTTTTTTTAAAAGAACAAATAGAACTCCTGATTTTAGCCGAAGCAACAGTAGCTCGATTGTTTATTTTACATTCGCTTTAATAAGACCGAGATTATGGTGGCTATGCGAATAGTCAATATTGGCAAATTCAAAACACAAAGCCCAAGTGTGTGCGTTCGGTAGGAATCTGCACAACCAGTGATTTCGAGTAATTTGTTTCCTTACGCGACTACCGCATTCATAAAATCTCACTTCATGATGCAAGTTATAACAGGTTAGGGAAGTGTGGACGGTTATGGCTTTGCTTTTGGAAGTTGAATGCAACAAATTTTTGAGTGTTTGTTCAGTTTATATTTACCAAATGAATTGATAGCAAGATATTGCATTAAATTGTTTGAGTGATCAATTTTTTATCGTCAACGATCAAAAAATAATTGTCGCGTTAATGAAAGATCAGGCATGCAGGATGAGATATCTTAAACCAAAATTTAAAATTTAGGAATCTTCTTTTTCTCAAAATTTTGTAATTTGCGCTTACACTTTTGTTAAATTTAGGTTTCGGTTTCGTAACCTTTGAATCGGAAGAATCCGCGGAAAAGGTTTGTCGAATACACTACCACGACGTCAACAATAAAGTGGCAAGTTGCTAAATTAAAGATATTTAATCTGTTATCAAAATTTCCTCACTTGACATAATGCTCTGCCTTTTTCAGGTTGAGGCGAAGATAGCCGTTCCAAAGGAAGTGCTGAGCACAAGTAACGCACTGCTGAAGCAGCGCCAACTTATGCATCCGAATCTGTGTACGTGCGGCAGCTTTCAACGTTTCAAACTAAATACCTCGGGTTGTACATTTTAATAACTCACAGTGTATTGTTTTATAGCTAAGTTGCTGCCAATTTAGCGAAAGTACCTAAGCATAGGCATGTGAAAAATGCCAACACCATTTTTAGGACCACTGATGTATTAGTTGAAGTAAACTTCATCTTCACCTAAAAACATTAGTCGTGACTTAGAATCGTATTAAACCCCAGTCTTAGTATAAAAAAAGTCATTGATTTGAATCAGTGAGCATGTTATTGTGTTTGTGTTGAAATCTTGGATTAGTCTGACTACGCGTTTCTTAAAGCGGAACTACATGTGATTCCGCTTTTCTTTCATATTAATGCCTTTCTCAGGGCAAATATTTTTTTTTAATTTTGGTAGCCTTACGATGTACTTGCATTGGTCACTCAGGGGAATTTCAAAATTTTTACTGCTTTTCAGCTTTGATGCTTAAATCAAAGTTACAAAATTTTCGACTAGCCCCCTCATGTTTCCGTAATTTGGACAGTTTTCTTATTGGAATTTTAAACGATAATGGGAGGTTTCGAAAACTGAATAGCTGTGAATTTCGTGGTTGAATAAGGTTGTATTCAAAGTTTCCACAAATTTCTGCATGCCACTCATATAACAACTTGTATCAATCAATGGCCTGATTAAATGCATCTGCAGTTCCGACCTAAATATATGTTCCCGTTTTATTAAAATTCAATGGCACAAAATTCAAATCTGGTTGAATTGCACAATTATTCAACCTACCCTTACGGTATCGCTTAGCTTACTTGCGGTCTGTTGTAGCTCTGTACGTGCCTAGCCGTCAAATTAATGGTACCGACGGTGGAACAAGTGCCAGTCGCTTCATGAATGTTGCCCCAAGTGGCGTGCAACCTCAGTCGAGTTCCACGACCCTGGCTACGATGGCTGCTTTGGCGGCTGCAGCTGCTGCAGCCAGACAGCAAACCGCCCAGCAACGACTGGCGCAGCCCAGTCTTTTGCCCACAGCATTGCAGGCTCCTCTGTCTGTCCCTGAACTCATGTCGCTGATGCCGATGCCCTACCAAACCGGTGAGTGTGCTTGGCCACAATCGACCCGGCTTTACTGCTTCCATCATGTGACCGGAATGTAGTAAAAACCAAGCTAAATACACAGGCTGTTTTTTTATGATTGCTGATGTAACATCAGGGAGAAAATCAAGCTCACATTAAAATTTTTTAGCCTTAAAGAAATAAAAAAAATTTGGCTAACCTGAATCTTTGTTTCGACAGTCCAACATGTGTCAAAAAGTTGTCCTTTACCACACCATTTATTTTACAGACGCATCCACTTATTTTTAAAAACGGACTCTTGTCATTTGTTTTGCATGAGGAATTTTGAGGCATTAGTACTTATATGTTAGGTTTACATTCATGGAGAGCAATTACATGGCCTCCATGCTACTCCAATTGCTTTCTGAAATCTCAATAAGAGCAAATGGAGTTGACGTGGTGTACAAACATGGAGGAAAGTGAGTCAGCAGGACTGGAAAGACTATGAAAAGGGGCAAATTTAAAATTAGTGAATTAAGTGTGTGGGCACTTCAAATCTGCAAAGCACATCCAAATGATACCACAAAGTTACTACGTGCGGAGTGAGCGAAGAGAAAAACACGTGCTGACGCTTCTGCCGTGAATAAATCCAATTGTCAGGGAAAACAGATCATTTATCCGCCAGCCTGCTGGATGTGAGCGTCTGTTAATGTCGGGCGGTGGAGGTCCTCCATCCACTTCTTGTTATTAAAATTGTTGAAATAGCACGTCTCCATGGATTCTGAAAAAAAAACTTAGATCTTTATTTACAACTGAATGGGAATATTGTTTTAGATAATGTTCTACCTTGCTTGTCTAGCACTGCTAGCTCGAGAAAGTAGCCGTTGAAGAGATTATGGGATACTTGTGGGACCGCATTTTTGCTTAGCCCAGGCTCAATCATCAGCATTGTAACATGACACAGTTGAAGTGTTGGCGAATAATATAATCATGGCTTGCGAACAAACCAATGATGAAATTTGCTGTTCACAAGAAATTCCAAGTCAGACTTTTTTACTTGTAGTTAGAATGAAATAATTTAAGGCCTTTGACATGACTACATAAGATTGCTGTTCCGAAGAATCTTTAATGAGTGGTTCGAACGGTAGCAAGGATTTTTTTATCAACATCAGTTCCCTTGCTTGACTTTAAATCACTTACTGCATTTTCCTTAAGCGTCTTATGATTTTCACATTAGACGTACACGACTAGTTAAGAGCAAAAAACTAGTGATTTTTAAAACCGATGCGGACTGCAGGTTTTGTTGGAAGGATAATTGACCAACAACTTATTTTTCTTGCTAAACTAAAATCCTTGTGGGAAAAAGAGACCTTTTGTCATATCGTGTTCACGACATTTGTAGAAGAGAGTAAATAGACTACTCACTAATCTTAGGGCTAAAAATTAAATGCCGGGGTTATTTGAGCTCATTTGAAGCACCATAGTCTTGAACTGCTTAATTTGTATGTTGATCACCAAATATCCGATACACAGTTTAAGTCAGATGCTCTACAGACGTTTACTGTAAGTTGTAATCTACGGTCTCAAATCGAGTTAACGCTAGAAGATAGACCATCGAGGTTTTCCCGAATAAATATCGCTTCAGTCTAAAATAATTTTAGCTTAGATTGTCACTAGTTCCGCAGCTCAAGTCTCTACAAGTGCATTTTTTGAATATAAATCCAGGTGCTATGTTCCCGAAACCAGAGACCATGCATCTGTTCTCCCGATCGGTGTCTACTCCAGGGCCCTCGACTGCCAACCTGAATGATTTGTCAGCAGTATTCGGAGCTGCCTTACCTCATTCTCTTTCGACGTTGGATTTTCCCCCGCGTTTCGCAGCTGCCTTTCCTTCACCAGTAGGTCTGTCGTCAGCCCAACATAAGTTGCTTGCACCTCTCTCGTCAAGTAATGATGGTACTGCCCTGGCAATGGCTTCTTTCCAAAATCCATACGCAACCCCCCAACACGCTATGCATCATTACAATGCAGCTGCAGCAGCAGCCGCTGCAGCTGCCGCCTATAATGCGGGTCTCCTTCAACAGCAACAACAGCACCAGGCCGTGACGTTGGCGGCCGCAGCCGCGGCGCAGGCCCAGACTGGTCCACTTCCGCCACCGCCACCACCACCACCGACGACGCTGCAGACGCAAGCAGCGGCTCCACCAAGTGTGAAGACCGAGAATTTGGGGGTAGCGCAATCTCAAATGTTTGCTTTTATTGGTTCTGTTTGATGAAGCTTAGGTAATTAACCCAGGAAATGATGCTAGGTTTCACTTAACGATAAGGTTGGGGATTAGCAAATTGGACAGCGTTTCGAAATTTTGGCAACGCCACGCGATGTGTAGATCCTTCCAGTACAGTAACTTCAGAGCGGAAGCAAGGGTCCATTATACGAGTGTCAACATGAAGGTATGCTTGACGTTTGTAAGGGCTCGCATTGAACAAATGTCTTTCAGAACTAACAATTGTTACCAAACATGGTGTTTTGAAGGAACATTCAAAATAATGTTAATTAAATTTTTTGGGGCCAATCAATGCATTACGCATACTGGTGTTATATTTATCAAACAATAACTGTCTGTGTAAAGTAAGTGGGAGCAGGTTGGTCTTGCGTCAAAAAAACAATGAAAAGAACAGACGCACTGTCATTGAACTTAACTTTTGGTGAGTCTTAAATCTCTGGCTTCATATAAGTCATAAGAGGGAAATTGTTGAGTGGTTATCGTTGTCCAAAATGCAGTCTATCCTAAAAGAAGTAACATTTGCGAACCTATTTACGGAAGGAGGCAAATGTCTCAAAAGAAAATTTATGTGACCCTGTCATCCTTTGCAGATCACAGTAACTTGATGCTTAAAAAAACCAAAAAAATTATGATGTACCTTCGTGACTAAGGCAACATGAAATTAAAACAGCAAATATTTTTCCATCTCTCAGACGAATAGAGTAGAAGCATGCCGCTTCTCCTACTAACTCAAATTAATTATTGGTGGCATTTTCGCATTTGAGGTTTTAGCTGGATGGAATGAGGAAATGCTTTGGAGCTGGGCAATTAGTATTTCTCACAGTGTATGAACTAAACACTTTTTAATGCATAAGTTTGATGTTTTGGCTGGGTGACAAAAAAATTTGGTTTCCTCGAGCTGTTTTATGAATGCCTTGAAGCACTTAGATTTATTTTCAGGTAAAAATTTGCAAATCTCTCTGGGTGATAAAACTTTCGCTAATGGCAAAAACCCATAATTGCGACCGCTTCAATTATTTTTCGTTAGGCCCAGAAGTTTTCTAAGCATGAGCTCATTTATTTGCAAGATGGCACAATGTAAAGGGATCAAATAAGGTTTCACAAATCTTTGCCTAATCATTGAGTTTTACTTCTTTGTACGCAAAAACTGGAAAGTTTTTATCTTAGTGGTTTAATTTTTGCAAGGAGATGCGCCACAAAGAAGATTTGCTAGTTACGCACTCCCTTACCAATGTCTTAATGTATCGTTTTTTGTTTTTGGTCAAATCAAAGTACCCAATGAAACACGAATGCTTTTATCTATTCCTAATTCAAAATACGGTCTTAATTAACGCTTTTCCATATATTACACATATATATATTAACCTATAACGGACAAAAAGAGCTGTCAAATTACCTCATGGTTTTACACCTTGTCCAAAAATAAATTGAAAAATTTCTGAACTTTGTTCCTCTGTTTATTTAAGTTCAGTCAATGAAGATCAAACAAGTTTTTTTCTGCGTCTCTACAAACTGCAGCTATCACCTTTGACTTGTTAAGAAAGGTATGATAGATTGGCTTAGTGATTGAAATTTTCAAATAAAGTAGCTACCGACAACACAAGGAACATGTGTATCTGATGTTCTGCGGCTGTAGATCTTTCAAGGGGCAGGGAATCGACGGTTTTACAACGGGAATTGGTTAACAAGCTTAACTAAATTTTACCAGGACACCGTTTGCACAGGAGTTACGCATAGATAACAGGCATTTGCTTTTACTTTTCCATTTCCCTTACAGGGAATTGTCCTACCGCAGCCGCCCCAGCTTAGCAACAACATCGAAGGTCTCAACCTCACACAGCCTCAATCAAATCAACCAAAACCCTCTGAACCTGTTCTCACGACATACGCTAGCAATGCTATAACAACGCCTCCAGCTGTCGTCACCACCGACTCAAACTCAGGCTTCTGGCTGATACCCACCAAAATTCCACGGTGAGAATATTTTATGTGGTGTGAATGTTGAATTTGCAACAGCTGTTATCCTTGCAGCATCATGTGAAATCCATAAAATATATTTAAAGGCTTTGTTTTTTAAACTTTCCGAAAACGTACTACTTAAACTATCTTATCTATCGGATTTATGCTCTAGACTTGCAGTTGACATTGAATGTAGTGGATCACATCTGCAAGGCAGAATGCAAAAGAGTAATTTATGCTTAGCATTTAGGGGCATTGTGCTCTCTATTAGGTTCAATGGTTTTGAAACTATCTGTGGTCTCGCGGATTGTCATGCACTTTATAAAAAGTTGTTTAGTTCGTTCTACATTATATTAACCACCAGAGCGCGAAAACAGACTCAGTTTATAGCTATTAGACGCTACTTTTTGTTTGAACACAGGCATATCTCAAATAAAAGCCAAATGAAACAGGTTTGTGATTATTTTCCTTGTAATCCTGGTGTTAATTACTGGGAGTTACCTTATTATTACTAGTTCCGTCAGGAAAATCCTGCACACTTGCAAAACTATCTCGCTGTGCTTTGTTAGTAAAATGTACTGATGCGTAACTAGCGAGTCAGCTATCGCATTACCCTAGGTGGAGTTGTATTGTGTAGCACTGTAATAATGTAACCTTTTATAATTGATAAGTCGCTTTCTGGAACTATTCTGTAAACGGTACCCAAAAAAGTACAACAGTTAGTCGTTTATTTAGCAACATGTCCTGGGGCTTTCAAAATCACTGTGTCTCTGTGTATGCGGATGTGAATAAGCCTACTAGACCGTAGACCTAAACTTAGCGATTAAAAAACCCACAAGTGGGGCGTAAAAAAATGAAATAGTTAACCTCAAACAGTTCAAGTACTGCTAGATGTGGAAATCTGCAGAATGTTCTGTAAGTCTGTCACTAACACATGATTAATACCAAACTTTCAATTACTAATGTGTTCTGTCACATGTCACGTGGCTTTTGTCGATGTATGGCCAAGGAACATACATCCTCGTAATATGTGGCTTGTCTTAAAAATAAACTTTTATGGCCGATTTGTCTAGGGAAAATTACGCCCCCTATGACGTGCAGATGTGGTAAGTCGGTTGCAACCAGTTTCCCAGTGTCGTCCATCCAGTGCTCGGTGACTAGACTAGATTACGCTTTTCCCGTTTCCCATTCATTTGTCCCACAAAGGCATGACGGTGACTCTTGATTTAACACTCCCTAGACGTTGTTAAGTCACTACTCACTTGTTTTCATCATGCATGTCCAAACCAATTTTTATCGCTAATTTTCTGTCAACATTTACGTTGTCACTAATTTACTTTTGCGAATCGGTATGAATTGCTGCGTATTCATACCTTTAGGTGTGTGTTTAGATGCATGAAAAGATATTAACATTTGGAATTGTTTGTTGCATTCTTTCCAGGACACAGTGAGAACAATTAAACGCAAGTATTGAAAATGGTCTTTCAAAGCATGTAAGTTTCCGTTGTACCTATCAGTTTAGACAAATTTAAGCGTTATTAGTGTTTTTATCACGGCATTTATTTGAAAAGCAAAATTTTTAACGACTGCCTATCACTGAAATTGCTCATTGCTGGAGAGCTCGTGAGTGTAGGAGCTTCCAACTCCTTCACCGCAAAGGCTAGTATTTATCACCAAACTGCTTGCTGGAACACCCATCCCGTGTGTTGAGACGCCTGGTGAAGTTGGGCAGGTCTCGCTTCTCAAGAACCGATCAGCTTGTTCCCAAAAACTAACAAATTTTATCAGACGTCGCATGGTCTGCCAATTTTGCCTCGCCATAATAAACAACTGAACCCGAATAGAGATTCTGAGACTAACTAGATGCCTTTATAAATTTGGCTGAGGCTCGAGGTAGATGTTGGAAATTGATAGCGCAGAATGTTATTAAAAGCAGGCACGTTAACTTGTAGAAAATGTGCAATTGTTTTTCAAGCAGTCGATACGTGGTTAACCTCTTAATTTTTTCCAGTGTTCATCGATATTTTACAACTGTGATGCAGAAACAAACGTCTACACTACGAGACAGCTCAATATTATCGAAGCAGAGTGCCTAAGGCCTGTGTCGATACCTGACTATTCATTCTGTCACTTTGATGCAATCTTCAGCTATTCGCTCTACTTATTTTAACTATTCCTGTCTGATTTATTTTTTTCCTGGCCTCTTGTCAGCTCTTAATCAATGACTGCCGCATTTTCGATTTACCTTGCTCTCTTTCTAATCTCCCAGTTTTCCACAATTGAAATGCAACCGAAACACAGACCTTCGGTTCATGATTGCTATTTTTGAAAGTTCATAAAGTGTTGTACGTGGATGCATCCCAAGCTCAATATTTTGTCTGACTATGCAAAAGGCATGTGCGTGTCTTGCTGTGTTCTCTGTAAAATAATTGCCCACAGCTCTACCATCTCCTTCAATGCAATCAATCTAATCAGGAGACAAAAACATTTTATCATATTAAAATGATTTTAATGTACTTTTCAACAACAGTTGATCAACAAAGTACAAGGTATGAAATAAAAAAACGTTTCCTCATGAACTTAGGTGAAAGTTCGTTATCTGGAGTTAGATCTTTGCAACAACATAACTCAGTCACGCTAAGTGTTGTGTATTCAGTAACATGAAGCAAACAGAAAATGTTTGTAGGGCGTATGAAATGGCACAAAAGGTGGGAAGGTATATTTCAGCCAACTCTGTCCAACGCACCAGAAAACAGGCTGCAATGTCAGACTCTTCAGTAGGGTTCGAAAGACTCCTTTTCCATTGTCATACAGGAAGTCACTTGGATCTTTGGGCATCACAGCATACTTGCTAGTAAATTATTAATGATCCCGCAACATCCTTTTTATCCTATCTGTATATTTGAGCTCTAACAATAATACGAAATTAACGTTGCATCTAGATTTGTGGTTTTACTTGAGCGAGAGTTTTTGCCACAACAACCAGAACGGGGTTTGTCCGAAGCAACTCGAATGCTCTATTGGGAGTCCAGGTGTATCATTGGCACAATCTGCAATCATATTTGTACTTTACATTTGAGGCAGCTACCAAAGGCAAAACCGCAAACATAATTGCTTTAGACAGACACGAAATGCAGGAAGTGTCGGAAGTAAGGGTTTTCCTGGAAGCGCCAACACACCTGCTTCATGCACTCTCGCAGATTGCTATCGTAGGCCGTCTTGGTAGTCAACTTATAACTGATGGTTCAAAGGTTTAAACGAGGGTATTAAAACACCAAACGATGCATTAAACACCTGTAGTTCAATTAAAATTCTTCGTGACAATGATCTCTTGGATGAAAATTAAAACTCGAACTTTTAATATGCAGGTAAGATTTGATTAGATCAGGAAAGATTGCAAATTAAAAATTAAGGTAAAATTCTAGGGCCAAAACAGCAATTGCTTAGCTTGTGGCATCAGACCTACTTTGAGCCGTCTAGAGCATATTCTTTTTTAAGTCAAGCTCACAACGTCGTGAGCCAAATACCTTTAGAAGTAAAGTGTATCAGCAAAAGCCTCAAGTTAAGTGATCACTGAATTTTTTTATGGATCCAGGCCACATTTACCTGAAAACCACCGACAAAATGTTTTTAATGGTTTCACGGGAGGAAGAATTGCAACCAATAAAAAAGAAAGGTACTACTGACTAAGTTCTCCTAGAATGTTGCTGCATGGCATTTCCCCCAATATAGCATAAGGAAGCCTTTTTTATCGATGGCTGATTGTGAGTTGCTTACGAATTACCCTGTCCGAGTCAGAATAATACCTTTCACAATACGCAGCTGCGTATATCGTTTTTATGAGAGTATTAGTCGGACGGCGTGATAATTTTCGGCAAATTTTACCTAAACAATCTCAGAGGTGTAATGTATTAACAGATCTTAAAACAGCCATGCTGAAAGTTACGAAAAACCAAGATGGTAATCAACGAAAGTGAACTAATCGCATTTTTTCTCCAATGTTAGCCTAATCTGTTTCCTTATTAAACAGATTATAAGTCGCAACGGTTGGAGCGTTAGCTCATAAACATGCGAATTCGTAATTTATAGAAACGGGTTTTCTGCACTGTGTTTTAGTGAAAAAGATAAGCCTTGTTATTACAATCTAAATGCTTGGAAAAATGTCTACAATTTGTTAAACTTAATTCGTACGAATTAAATTATTAAAAAGCATTGTGTTTTATTCAGCTAGTAACACGAAATCCATAATACATATAATTAATAGTCTTTTAAAGTTTTATCAGATGCTGTGGAACCACTTTAATCGTCGTCGTACATGCAATCAGCTCTCCTACCTTCATTTATGCACACGCATTATTCCACTTTTTCAAAACCACGCTGATTTTAAATCGTAATTAGTGGAGGTGCGTAGTAAGGTGGACATGGGTGTTCAGTTGGAGAGTTTGAAATGCTATTTCAAGTGGAATAAACTTTAACCAATTAGCTGGATATTAGAAAAAAACGTGCAATTTTTTTAACTCCGGACTGCACCTTGTGTCACACGTATTAGCCCTCAGTGCGCTGAATTAGGATATTTTAGTCATAACTCGGGCACATCTTACTGCTCATCAATCTAACACAACCTGACATCACTTTCACGGTGTTTACTACAGTAATCCATCGTATTTATTACTGTCTGCACACAATGACATGTAGGATTGTGTCTAAAATTGCCCATAATTTGATTGTTTTGACCAAATTTTAGATTAAAGAGTGATAAATCAAGTGGTCACTTAAAATTTCAAATCTCAAATATCCCGTGCTGGCTTTCCTTAAAAACTCAGAAAATGAAAACGCACCTACGAACTGAGCATTTGTATAATTAGAGAATGTTGAGGTTTAGGCAATTAAACGTAGTGCATTCTTTGAATACCTAAGGTAACAGTTCTGAATGCTATTTTTCCGATTGCCTTTTCACATTTATTATTTTACAGTGCAGACTATCATAAAAACCCTTGATAAATCTTTTCCTTGGTGATCTGAAGTTGTTTACATTTAAGTGGAATAAAAACTGGTGCATAGATAATCTTCCTCTAATATCATTTCATAAAACAATAAATGCCGTCCTGATCGATCACGAACTAAAGAACAAATGGGTTATTAGTTGAAAATTGATGGCAGCAGATCAAGTAGATAAATTTGCTGAATAGAACGCATATCATAGATATGCTCAGATTTTAGTAGGAGCTCTGCTTAGACACCAAAAATAGGAATTAATTGAACTTATAAGAGGCAATATGTAGACTTTACTTGTAGGAAAGGTCTTCATACATGGGTTAAGTGCACAATTTCTACACTAGAAAGTGTCATCAGCGTCTACAAAAGTTATTTTATGCTTTTGAATTTACAAAGGCAATTTGTCATGCCTTAATTTCTTTAAAAAAAATTATTTCGAAGACATCAAGATTTCAAGAGACAGTATTAAAAACTGATATTTCGCTGAATATTTTATCTGTCTACTAGCCCTAATTTTTTTCATAAATCATATAATAGCAATAATCATTTTAATTACCTATAACAGTTTCCATCCGTCACTTCCCGGATATCATTTAGAAATGTTTTCTAATTAAGTCATTTTTGAGAAACTATTTTGACTAATTGTACACGGTCAAACTGAACTCTCAAATCCTCTTTGTTAGGGTTTGCATTTGTTATGCTACTTTTCACATGTCCTGTTTTAAACACTATTCAGTTTGCCTCCTTGTTCTTTAAAATTTGCTCCTTCAATGGCAATCATTTGTTGTCTGTTGAAAGTCTTTTGAGGATTGTTTTTGTTGGACGCATGTTTCGCAATTTGTCGTAATCGTCAATTTGTATAATTACCCGTTGGTTATTCTAATCAAACGGTAGTAAAATCAAAACAAAAAACCTTTGTGACCTTATGCTGGAACATACAGCCTAAAAATTCAAAAGCATAATGCTTAAACGCTAATTAATTGTGTGTTTTTGCAATTTAAATCGCAATATCCTTATCTCTGCCACTGGCATTTGTTACAGAGTTTAATTCGAGTTAGGTTGATACTGCTGTTTTGAACGTCATGTTGATTGATTTTCCATTGAATCTTACAGGATAAAAATCAAGACCCAAAGCAGTAATGCCAAACGGCACTCAAATGCTCATTAGCGCACAAGCTGTTGAAAGGCCGAGAGAATTGCTTCATTTAGCTTTTTTTCTGAGATCCAGGGTTACTGGCATTACGCATTCTTCCGTAGTTCCATTACTTTAATTACAAGGCGGTGCTTGGCAAAAGGTATAAATAGCAAAGAATTCGACAAATTAGTGTCCGATGTTTTTGCGAAAAATCATTAGAGTAATTGACTGAACACATATTTAAGTCCAAAAACCTAACGACATGTGTAGAAGTAGTTTGCGGTTAACAAAATTAACACGATGCAAAATCTAGGATCATAATGAAAGGTTTTTAGAATGATATTTTACTGTTAACTTGAAATTTAGTAATTAAGACGTAAATAGCATTCACCAAACCCGATTAAGGGGTTTAATTGACACGTCAAACCATGGGGCAAATTGACCGTTTCGTCACCAATTTTGTTTCAAGGTCTTCCAACTCAGCTGGCAATATGCGCTAATTTTTTTGTTTATTCTGCCAACAAACTAGCTATTTAAGAAATACGAGTCCTTATTTTTACATAAAAAATGACGTTTCTGTTATAACCTTAGGGAGCTCAACAGACCATAATGCCATTATCTTGTACTTCTAAGTGTTAGGATGCACTAAGGTAAATTCCCCCTTCTAACTCCTGACAGTTTCTGTGACCTGATTTAAAATGCGATTTCCTGTTGAGGAGACTTAGAGTTGATTGCTCAAGGATTTTTCTGTTTATCACAATATCAAGAAATATTAAGTTGCTTGCATCCATAAATTTGTTTGAGGCAACCAGATTCGTGTACTCACATGTTCCCATCTGTACAAAAATGCCTCAATTATTTTTTTTTGACTTAAACGACTCCATTACTAAACGCATTTTAAATCAGATTGCCAATTTTGATAAAATTTTGTCCTTTTTCATAAGCTCAGTATTTCTTGTGCGTATTTACACGGGTGCGTGAAGGCAATTAACCACTGCTAAACACAAGTCTCGAAATCAACTAACAAATTGTGTAAACCTGCCATAACACAAAAGCAGCAACTCTTGTATGTACACTTGCAGTAAGTAAATTAGGTACAAATACGTCTCTGATAGCTCATTTTTGTCTAATTATTTTTTTCAAAAGCGGGCGCAGACAGGTGGTGGACCCGGCGAGGCTGAGGAAGGGGTGGTGGAGAAGATCTCTGGCTGTGGCTCTCTTAGCATCATTTCGCTCCAAGGTTGCATTTAGAAATGACTGGAGATGTGCTGATTGCTGAAAGTAGAAAGCACGTCTGCAGGAAGATAAATTAACAAACAGCTCTGAGCTGTAGTTCCTCAAAAAACGGCCTTGTGCTTAAACAGCTGATTTTTGTAACTATTTTATTTGCTGGCTCAATAACAGCTGTAAGCAGTTTTGAGTCGTGAACGAAATTTCAACAGAGTCGCAGATAAGAAGACCGATGTATACACGAGCGTTGGGGATCCAGGATTCCCCCAGGATGGCTTATCACAGGTTTTCTTCGTTCTTTACGCTAATCCTCCAATCACGCCACATCAGTGGGTGAGTTACCCACGGAATCCTACTGAAAACCACATCCGTGTTAATCCGCTTTCATCCGTTAGGTCAAGGTCACCCGACAGATCACTCGCACTTTAGCTGACGTGATTAAAGCTCTCTGCACGAGCTCTGGTCTTGTTCTTGCATTAGCGTGGAAAGGTCGGTTCTAGCGTCAACAAGGGATCTGGGTACCGTTATCTGAGTTGCTTCTCTTGGTTATGGGCAAACGTAACGAGTCAAACACTCCTTTACCTTTCAAAACTATATGTTCTCTTACAAAGCACTGGAAATTTTTTTCCCTTTCCTCCTGCACGATTTTTGGGGGCTAGTCATAATGGATGGCTTTTAAAATTTCATTAGCACCAAGGCATCCTAGAGCCTATGAATGGGCTTCGCCACATGCCTGTAAATAAAAAATATGGAGAAGGCCGAATACCGCAGCTGAACGTCGTGGGTAATGTTGTGCTATTTAACTGCGAACTACCGAAGTTCTCTGTCCGTTAACAAAGTAGACGTCCTTGGAAATATTTGCAATTTTACCCACTTCCCTTTTGTCAACATTGTTGCTACTCACAGTAATTCCTTGACTCGTATTACGTTACTCACCAATTAGAGCATCAATACCACTGAGGCATCCCATTCCGGTTTCCATTCTACTGATCTCGGAACCAATGAAAGAAATAGCATTGGATGTGAGACCGAATTAAGCGGCTTTGAAACTAAAAAGACAACCGATCACCCACTCCTCCTAGAGGGAACCCTTGAAATGCGTGCGTGCGCTATTGCTGGCTACCGGCTGGTGGTCGCGCACGGTCTGCGTATGTCAAGAGGCATCAAAGACAAAGGGGCAGTGGCACTTACACTTTCAGGGTGTTTAAGATGTGGTGTAAATTTGTCCTTAATGAGGCACATGGCAAGTGAGGGTGGTTCGTTGAAAAGACTTGGCTCGCCATCAACCATCTCGATGACGAGCACACCGAATGACCAAATATCGACGGCTGTTGTGTAGGGCGCACGAGCTATCACCTCTGGTGCCATCCAATAGGGTGTACCGACCAAACTCCTTCGTCGGGGGTTCGCTGGAGTGACCTTGAAAGTACATTTAGTGAGTCGGTTTCTCATTTAACAATTAATTTGGTTTGTATTCAGGATCAGGTTATTTCGATTAAGAGTAATTGGCTTTCAAGAATTTAAGAATGTGAAGGCTCGGAGGGAGCGCAAGGTATTTCTATTCCTAACTCTACATTTAAACTTGGACGTGGTATTTTCCCGTGTGTTGACTAGTCTACCACCTTCACAATTGTTTTGAGAGAACTTGCTGTCTGATGTTAGCAAATCCTAAGTTATTTGTCAAACAAATGAAGCTCTTGTATACTATTTAGAGTATTGACTTCCTTTGGTCTTAAGCTCCGTAGTTAAAAGGTGTCAAGATGCGTGGAACGAGTTCATTACAGAGTCCACTACCAAGCCGTGGGAGGTTAGCGGAGGTAAGGAATGCAGGTATGTCGGAACAGGTTCGCCACAAGCTGATTGGTGTGTCACTCATACCTTCCATAGGTATCTGTTCACAGATGCTCTACAAACACGACTACGCACAATATGCCAAATGGGTGAATCAATGACTGCGTTCATTTCGTCGTTTTCACCCTCTTAACACTCATTTTGCTCCTGAGTTGGGGTGTTAACGAAGAATGAGGCTGCAGAGCAGCCTGTTGGGTGCAAGCAGACATCTCTGCCCGGGGCAGAGCAGGTTTTTGCAGTGAAACGTCGTTTCGTCCTAGCCACAGCCCTCAGGTCATTGAAACTGCTTAACGTGCCTGCGAGCAAAACCAGCTCTTTCGCCCTCACTAACACCAGCTGTGAGACAAAGAGGTTATGCGAATTGACTAACTTCTTCGTGAAAGTGTCATGCCGAATATTTGCTTTGGCAATAAATTCTGTTTTGGAGTCAAATTTCAAGTTTCGCAAAATCCATTAAAATCAATACCTTTAGAATGATAGGTTACAAAATATGCAGATAATTTGACACTGAAAACAACAGATCTGCTAGTCATACATACTGTAGACACTACTGCGGTCAACCTTGAAAGAACAAGACATCAAATTAACTGACAAAAAGACAATGGAAAAAAACATCCAAAATTAATTTTTTTATACCTTTAATGACTACTCCAGTTTAAATGGTGTTTGATCGAATGGATAAATACATTTTTGGAATGTCTTGCGATATCTTATAGATGTTGCAGTTTGCCACGTTGTGGCATTTATTCTATCTATGGCCTTGGAAGATGTTAGCTTGCATTCTACGAGCCCCGACCTTCGATTCATTTACACGCCTTTAATTTGTAGCAAAAGTGCATTTCTTCGTTATAACAAAAGTGCAAGTTAAGTTTGATTGGCAGTGCGGTGATTCTAGATACAGCATCAGGCAAAGCACAACCAAACCACCACAATCATCCTGAGTTTAAGTTGTGTGTTAACGCTGTGTGGATGATTGTCGAAGGGAGCCCATCTTGTGTGCAGTGAAGCTGACACAGGACAGGTTCCAGAGCCGGTTCTGACGTCCACAGCAAACTCCAAAAGGCATTAAAATTGCTCGATTATGAAATCATACTTGACGCTTACCGTCGCACAGAACCCAAAATCAGATAATTTGATTCTGCCGTCGGATGCGAGTAAAATGGAATCTGACTTGAGATCTCGGTGGATCACGCCATTGTCGTGAAGGAAGACCAGAGCGGCGAGTATTGGAACGCAGATTGTGGCTATTTGCTTCTCGCTTAGTCTGTGAAGTTGCATAAAAATTCACGAAAACCATCCCTCATTTTAGTAGATAAGTAAACAAATAGACTTCAATCTTATTCCTCAAAGATTATGGTATATGGAAATGGTGAGAGTTAAGACAACCAAGTAACTCGATGGCCAATACTATCAATGTTATCACACGTTATCTATCTAAAAGGCTTTGACTTCTTTATTAATGCCAAAACAAACCTTTTTGTTTGGTTCGTGAGTGAAAGGATGTTTATGTGGTTGGTTTGTTTTTAACAACAGGGAAAGAATTTTGAATCATTGACGCTTTAGGCATTCTTCTATTCGACACCACTTGACATTTCTGTCGTCGGCTACACCATTGTTGTATACTAATTAGCGCAGGAACTGCGACAAAAGGTAGTATAACCCCTTATTAAGATTATTTACCAAACAGCAGGTCAATCTAATGTGCCTCTCAGGGTTTATTTGAAAATGGGCTTAACAAAGGTTGTCAGTAAGTCAACTCAAGACGTTTCTTGTGTTTACAATTTAGTTTTGGTGAGCGTGAAAATAAGAAATGTTGAGAGAGCTCATTAAGGGTTTACTTGCATGTTTGTGATTTTAATGTTGGCTTATGACAAGCCCTAATGAAGCACCTTTCATAACATGTTGCCTTTTAAAAGTGTAAATGAAATATGTGCATATGCAAAATTAGTTAGCATAGGAAGCATGACCTAAATGTTTCTGAGAAGGTATACTTTTATCTCATATAAGCATTTGTGAATGGTTTGAGTGTTTCCAAACAAAATTACCGACTCCTAATTGGCTAAAGGTTTTGGATAGAATCATGCAATATGAAACGGGCATGCAGATTAAGGCTTACAATTGCACGCAGTTGAAACTATTACTACTGAAAAAAATTTAATACACGGTTTTTGCGTAATAATGAATCTGCAACAATTTCGTGTCATCTTTTTCCAACAGCCAAAAGTAATGCTGATTTTAAACTGATTAACATAACAATCGACCTTATTTTTCGATATAGATTAGTGTGCTTCTACTGCTTTAAGCAACATTTAATTAAAAAGACGTTAAAAACATAATGTCAGCGACACTTCCAAAATCTCTGCCCTTATTTAATCTGTTAAAGGAACATTAACTAATATTTGAAAACTGTACACAAGCTAATTTCCCTAAATACTGTCAGTACATGTTTTAAATGATAATACTAAAAGAAGTGTTTAAGCGGAACCTTTTCAGTAAAATCGTATTGCACAACATAATCTGAACATTCCAAAGTCGAAAAATCGAAAGAATTTGACGCAACTTGAACCCACCCAATCCGCGAATCGTAGCAGCTAACTTCAAACTGGAGCAAGAATAGGTAATCAATAGCGATCTTGACCGGGTTCAGTCTATGTGACTCACCGAGATGCTAATTTACAGGAGCTATCGAGTTGACATAACTAATTACTGTGTCCATCCGGGCTGATTCTGCTGTTGTACACGTCACCACATGCAATGTGCCTTTGCTATCTTAGCAGTCCTGAACCCCAACGATTTGCATAATAACTGGTAGAACGTTAGGAATCTAAATGCAAGACCTGAACAGTGATGAAACCACATTGTCAAGAAACGTTGAAAGCTGACAGAAACCGGGAAATTCCAGTCATCCATCAAAAGTGCAATGTGTTTATGATTTGTGACGGGTATACACATGAATCTTTTTCTGCAAATCTGTTTGAAATTTTTTCAGAATAGTTGAAACTCAAAGAAACAACAGCGGTAGCCGGAGCGTGTGCAACCGCAAGCCCTTATAGTCACGTTCACTGGAGGAGCGGTCTAAAAGCGCAATTTTGTGTGAGCAGTTTGTGCTTAATCAGATTGATTGATAGAACCTATTTGTGCACAGGAAATTTACGATTTTAACTTTGACTCCACAGTACCAGGCACTGGCAGATTGTTGGCAACAAGATTGGTCTTGGCAGAGCATTACAAAACACGCGGGTTGCAGTGACTGTCATCCAAACACCACGTTGTCTAATTACGGGCGCCAAAGTGCAAAGGCAGCCTACCTGGTGTTCACGAGAACTGAAGTGAGGGCCCCGCAGTCCATGAATTCCATTATCACCCAGAGTTCATTGCCGATTATGTGACTGGAAAACATTTTCAAGATGTTTGGATGGGAAAAGGTTCGCATGAGGACTGCCTAAAAGGTGAGCATTTGGAGCTGATTACTACCAGGAAAGATTTTGACAACTTGAAAGTCTCTTCAAAACCACCAAAACACCGATTTCGTTTTGCTACCTTTACGAGAACACTCCGAATTAGTTTTTAGGGTCATTTGCCTAACTTGTTACATAACTGTTAAGTAAAACTAACGGTCCAAATTAGCTTTTAAAATGTTCTTCACTTTTGTACTTTAAAAGGCATCTAATAGAAGTATGAATGTTACGTTCATGTGAAATAGCTTTGAAAAAATTAAAAACATAACCGACATTTGCTACTCATTTAACGTCCCTGAAAAAAAGGTTAAATTAATGCTAAAGTTAAGGTTACCTCAGTGCAGCTAATTTACATTACCCATTTCATGCGATAGTTTTCACTTAACTATTTTCAAGTAGTCTTTATTAACCTTTAATGGACCATAAGTTTCCCTGATTACAGTACACGATGACTTGGGTGATGTCTACCAGTGGATCTTATTTTGAAGTCTGTAGACCTCCATTGTTTTAATGCAAACCCAACCTAGGAATATGCAAGGTGTATAATTCACTACACATATGTGGAAACTGGCTAAATGCGAAATTTGTACTAAGCAACAACGCCTCTATTTAACTCATTTCCGTTAACTTAGGAAGTCAAATTTTATTTGTCATTTTGAAAAAATAAGAAAAGCAATGATCTAGGTGTCCGGAGGGTTTACATTCAACACGTTTAAGTTACTCGAAACTACAACGCCCTGACTTAGATAAATGATGTTTTTGTTAATTTGGAATGTTTACTTGATTTCGCTTATAAGTGGGCCAAAAAGTATGAAGTGGGCCGCTAATCTAAGGCATTAAAATTATCTGTGCCCCTATGTGTAGAAGTGACTTAGAGACTAAAAGCAGAGGTCACTTTTGGCAACGAAAACTGTAACACGCCTACTTTGCGGTGAATTATCACGATACGATAATCAATAAATGGCCTTTTTGCTTTATATATCTAATGCTCCAGTTAGTGTGCAATAAATCACGACATGTCAACTACTGCAGAGTAACCCTATTTGGCACAACCATTTGTCCGACTTCGATCCGGTCGGAGACCCAATTAGCTGGGCCGGGGGCAACGACTATGCACACGCACACAACCACACCCACACAAGCACGTGAAATGCGCTCCTTGAATAATAATAAAAAATACCCCAGGCTCATAAGAGTGCAGTGAATTCTGACTTTTCGCTTATCTGATCCAAAAGGTAAACAATTAATTAGATGGTCAAGGCGCGAAAGCCATAGTTTAATGGGCTGTTTTTAGTTTTATCTACCTTTTAAGCAGCAGCAGCAAGCTAATAAGCAGCAATTTACGTTTCCAGCCTTTTTTACACTACTTGTTTAAATCGAACATCAGTAATAGCAGGTTTACAAGCATCAGAGAAAATATGGCCAAACCCGGGCAAATAGCAACCAAAACTACGGATGTAACTCAAGAGTGTCATCGGGTTTTCTCAAAAAAATTGCATACCTCATTAATAAGCAACTCGGGTCGCTGTTGAGTAGTAATGTTCATTTTCTTGATTGCTACGAGAGAATTGTCCGGCAGGTGTCGGGCCAATCTCACGACGCTTGTGCTGCCTTCGCCGATAGTCCCGAGCTCTCTCAAACTTGGTCGTGGGTCGCCAGGATCCACTTCTGTTGCCAGGAGTGTTTTAAACTACAAATGATTAAGCTCGTTGTAGATCATCGTGATCTTTTTAAAAAAGAGACCGCTATTGTCCTTGCAATCGTTAAATTCAATAGAAATTAGCATCACTTACAAACATGTCAAGTGGACTTCGCTACAAAGATACAATTTCTGTAGTATTTTTGATGTTTAAAACATAAACTGACGGAGGTGGCTGCAAAAACTTTTTACAAAATAAAAAAGGGAAAATTCAAAATCTATTTAACAATACATAATAACAAAAACAGCAATGTCATCAACACAAATCGTCATCTTTTTTGAATTCTCATTCAAACAGTCGGATTTCATTGCGGTGAGGTACTCACAATATGAATCTAGCGCTTCTCCATTGACTTAGTCACCCGCTAGATTTCCTGAACGTGCGAATCAACCAGTGAATTAAACCCTAGCAAATTAATAAGAATCTCCTGACTATTCACTGCCAGAAACTTTCATTGAGGTTTCATTTGATGGTAATTTACGGAACAGAATTACTAAAACATTCGACTAAAGTATACGTCAATTTAATGCACGTCCTGCAAATATCATATTTTATATTTGCTACCTAACATGATGTTGAAATAAGTCGTTGTTTTCACACAACCGACAGACGTGGGAGACCAGCATCATTTCCAAGTGCCACCACTTCAACACAGGTAATTAGGGAGAATTTAACACACATAAACCACAGATACTAAATAAATTGACATCCGATAATCATTGATTTACAGTAAATGCAAAGCTAAGGCACCTATAAGCTACATCAAAAACCACAAGTGTCGTGAAAAGTAAAAGAATGGCCTTGAAGAGATTGAAATTTTGGTATTAGATTTTAAACCTATGGAGCAGTCAATGTTTAAACCTTGTGCAAAATTGGGAAAGATGCCCACGGAACTACCTAATTATGGTTTACTTAACGGTCGTGAGACAATAGCAAGTCTGACGTCACTGTTAATATGATGTATCAAAGGTTTTACTGAAAGCCAAGCCATTGAGAAAAGAATTGTTCGCAGGAAATGCGTGAGATTGTGTATTCGTATTCGGGCCTCTTGAGGGAATGTCCAAGAGTTTTTAAAAATCGATTCGCTAATTGTTTTATGTAAAGCGGAGGACTTTTCATTTACCAGACTTATCCAAAGATAACTGCGTCAGATTTACAAGTAATTTATGTTAAAAGTTCAGTCATTTAAGGCGAATGAAAAAGATTATTTGCAAATGTGTTGCTTTCAAGTCGATTTATGAAAATGATTTCCTGATTTTGACATTTCCTGGTATCTTGACAGATTAAACATTTAAGAATTTTTGTTGCACAGCGTTTGTTGTGAAATATTGAACATGTTTTCTAAACAAGGGGCTTTAAAGTTGATACAAAATTTTTTATCGTCAAAATTATGGTTTTTTAATGTTGGCTATACCGTTTTAAAAGTAGGGGTGATAGACAAAGGAGTTTTCAGAAGAGACTTTTTTAACAATTTTGACCAAGGACGATTAACGTTGGTGGTAAGCCGCTTCGCATTGACGCGTGATGAGGTTAACCTGATTAGTAACTTGACTCAGTTGATTGACGGTCTGACTCCCATGATCCTGTCTCACACACGTGGCGCGCACCAAGGAAAGAGTAGCTGAGGCGTGAGGATCAGGCAGTCACAGCCTGCGCCGACTTTGAGATTTTGTCTCGATTCAACCATGCGCCCTGCATAAAAGTCACTGCTTAAGTGACCAAAGAGATTTGGCATCTACACTTGGTGTCAAGGCTTACCAAATATATCGTAAAAATGCGGTATAGTACTGTAATAAAACGTATTGTGTGCTTTGTGAGTGCCGACTGTAAAACTATTTCCGGAATTACGTCCCCTGTACTTAACACGATTGAACAGATAATTACCGCTTCATGTATACGATAAATTTATCCCAATAACGAAGACTTAAAATCAGGTGCTTTTTACACTTTTTTATAAAAACCAAAAAAATTACAGGGAACTGACCGTGAGAACCGCTTCCCTTTACTTTCCACGTACCAAGGTTTAAAGTTTACCAGTGTAAGGTGCTTATCGTAGAGTAGCTTCACAGGCATGATTATTTAATTAGTGAATACGCATTAGCTGTATTTTAGCATTAGTGACAGCTTGTGGTATGCATAGACCCAAAATAACACGCTCGTATTAGTCAGGAGAAAGGTGTAGTCTTCAATAGCGGCGTGTTTGGCATTGAATAGTATTCACGTCTACTACTATTGTGATATGGATTCTGCTGATTACTTTCTCTAAAACGAAAAATTTAATCTAACAGAAATGATATTTGTTAGTACAATTGTTGCTGTATCGTTGTGAATGCAAACTGCCTTCGGGTCTAGTAATCGAGTTCATGTAACGGATCAAGTTTTTCTAATTACATTCGTTGTTTATACCTCGAAGTAGAGTTTTTTCCATACCCGAATTGAAAAACTTGGCATAATCAAATTAAAATTATCATATGACAACTTCGATTTCATACAACCGACTTTCAACATTATTAAGGTAACAAGATTCTCTTGCTGTGAAACTCATTAGTCTTTCAACCAAATCATCCTTAAGCCAAAAGGCGTATCACACCCGGATTCCAAAAGCCAGCGTTTACTTCTAACGCGTAACCTTCGACATGGGGCTGTTTAATGTTACTTTTCACCTAATTCCACTTTTACGCCTATCCGTTTATAGAATAACGTATCCAATCTGAGTATTGAAAATGCACCAGCCTGAGTAGCGTGCTTTACTTTCCTGTTTACTCACTTCTTTTGCCACCTGCACACGCTCTAAAACAGTAAACGTGTCTGTTTCTTCTAATTACATGACAGTTAAGTGCCAAAATTTACATTGAGCCCTTACATTTTGTATACTCTATAGAAGATATATATCCTGGGACATATTTGGGAATAAAAACGAAGTTTTGATTCTAAGGATTTACTTACTTGTACCAGAGACTGTTCTGCAGCTGGAGCCGTAGGCAGTCCACGTTGTACAGGCATGTGCGACAATGTGGAGATAGGGAGGTTTTCAATGCCATTTGAGGATGCAAGGCCATTTAAATAATTCAGGGATCTTGATTCTGCAATTCTCTTCCCTAACAGATCCCACTGGATGTGGTTAGTCGGGGCCGTTCTCACGGACAGGGAATCATCCGTGAATGACATATCAGATATGACGGGGGCACGTCTAACTGGAAATTGGGGCTTAATCGTACGTATGGTGCTACTGGGTCGTCTTTGAGGAGTTGTACTTCTGACACCATTAAATGGGCCTTTTTTTACTTTACCAACATGGTTTCGTGTAGAAGGGGTCCCGCGGCCATCCAGGAGCCGTGAAGAAGACCTACACTCGACAACAACGTTTTGATGTAAAGTATTACTCTGGTAGTGGGATGAGCGTTGTCTCGAAGAAGGATTATGATGCGGCGACGTCTCTGTCAGTGTCAAATACGATTGACGGCATCGAGAACGTCTACTGCTCCGCGGAAGTGATTCATCTGTGCTAATTGAGATACGAGCCACCTTAAGAGAGAATTGTGTAAGAGAATTGTTTAGTTCTCCATAGCTTAGGCATTTTGATGTAAATTTAGAGTACAGTCAGTAAAGGCTCTGTGAACCTGAAATTCGAAACTCAACAAATGCTTCAATGACAACTTCAATAAACTATGAAGTACAATATAGAGACAAGTAACTTCATTTGCGAATGCCTGAATCCCAAAAGCAGACACTCGGCAGGCTCCAGGGCACTAAGCAAGACTAGGTACAAGAGCACTCAATCATCATCATCTTCGGACAAGTAGAAATTATTAAAGACATAAGCCTGTACCTTTAAACACCTGTTAGAGCTGCGGGTCCTGAGAACTAAATATTATCAATTGCAAAGCTGCCAATTCCAATCCATTGACTCCATTTTTTCACTTTTAAACTTCTTGATATTTTAGAAATAAGTTGGAGCGGGGGTAAACTTATCGTTAGAATTTCGTAAAAATAATAGTATCATAAATATATGTTTATGTGCATGGTCTATTCAGTTAATTACAACGGCATTTGTATATTTTTATTGTTGAAAATTGTGTGAAACGGTGTGACAAATCAACTAATATTCAGCAATAAGAGTAAATTTGAAATCATTGTATTTGCCAGTTTGATTATTTGTGGAGAAATTAGCATTACTTTATGTGCCAAAATACTGCAGTAATTAAAGTTCCAAAGCGTGTATTTGTAGGTAGTCGCGATGACAAATGAATTTTCGCTTGCTATCAAGTGCTCATTTCATGGCGTTGACAGACATGAAAGGAGTTGTGAAAAAGTTTCATTCTGAGAGTATAAATTAAACACCCATTGACGTGATGCACAAATGAAGCCCCGATAAGAAATACCACTAAAATATCCCCAAAAGCAAGCACACCATTGACATGATGTACAAATGCATCAATGCCAATATTGTAAAGTATCTTCAGTGACGCAAACTTGCAAAATTGGGTTTGGCGCTGACATTTTGCAAATTACGTATTGCAACCGTCGTATTGTAAAGTTCATTCGTGAAAATTAAACCTTCTGATTTATTCCCAAAGTCAATTACCACACTGCCGAAGAAAATTTCGGTCACAAATTCACTGAAACATGCGTAGTTAAAATTAACAACTTGTGTACATGAGGCTGAAATTAAATGCTATCCGTTTAGAGATTGTAAGTGCAAGAAAAAATAACCAGTAATTTAGCAACATGGGAGCAACAGTGTTAGAGTTGATATAAACAGAAGAGGCGAACTTGCACCAAAATGTCCCGTGGTTTGACTCCTTAATTAAAAGGGAATTTGCGAACACTGCGATGAATTAATTGACATTACATATAAAACCGTTAATTGAATATGCAATAATACCAAAAAACTTGTAGCCTCATTGCAATTGATTTTATGCATGTTGATTTTTCCCATCCATACACCGGAATTTTGAAATTTTTGAAACTACTTATGTGAACAAGCACAGTAGATCGGTTGGTAAGCAAATTGCTGGAATCGAAATATCTCTTCTATAAGGACTTTGCCATTAGCGAGACTCCCATTTAAAAAATGATTTGCTAATTGATCCCCTTTACTTTTGAACAGATGTCTGCCATCAAGATTCTTTGTAGAGACGTTAGAGTAAACCGTCACACCCATAATATCAAAAAATTTTTAAATAAGTTTTCAACCAAGAATGTGCATTTGAGCACTGATGCTGTTCACTGGCGGCTTTGGCATTTAGAATTTGGTCCACCCATAGTAAGTAAAGTAAATAACATTTTTCACTAACAAGCATATTGGGAAAAGTCATTAATGAAATATCCAATAAAGATTTGGCTTTTGAAGGCTAAATTTCATTATTTCTTTATTGTGACAAGTAATCACAGTCCTTGTAACATTCTCAATGAAATAAGACACGAGAATAATTAAGTCATTAATTTAATAAAGCTCGCATTTTATTTGAAGACGAAGCAACTTTGTCAATGAAAAAGGTGTTAGTTACATTACCAACACTAACTGTGCCTCTCCCTTTAGATTTGCCCCTAATACAGTTCTAGCAAACGCAAAGATTAGCACAAAATTGGTTTGTACTAAAACGGTTTGGGCTTGTGACGTTAGGTCATTTATTTTCGATCAGTGACTTGTGTTTAGATAATTTAATGACATGAAAGCTAGGTTGCTTAAAATAAAACTGGACCCTGTTCATAAGGTATAACTGTTTTCTAATGTTCAATGTGAATACGCATACAATTACAAAGTTGATCCAGATAAACCCAATGAAATTCTTCTCTCCTCTTCTTTCTCTTTATGATTAGGTGGAATCGCAGATATGGTTGGTGAGTTTTTATGGCACTAAACATGCAGAAACTCATGATTTGAAATGATTTCAATCATTTTTTACTGCTTGAATCCGAAACCAATAGCACCCTTCAAGGGAATAAAACAGTTTTCAGCCGTAATGTAGGCCGTTTCCCCTGTTGTGCTTGAACCAGCGTGCAAATATGCAAGCGTGTGACGACGAAATTTAAATTTCAAATAACATTTCTAGAGCCAAATCCCTCTGAGACTCACGGAGCATAACACGCCATCATCTCTTGTTTTACTGTTATTTTTACTTCGATCGGATGCACTTGATCAGTTGTATGCATTACTTATTTAAGGACTATGGTTATGATGACCTGCAGTTGGTCTTGAGTGCATTTATTTAGTCGATTTGAAAGGTAATTTTTTTAAACTCAACTGAAGGCATATTCCGATTATTTTTTTTTAAAAAGAAGTAAACGTGCCTGGCTCTTTCGCGAACCAACCCTGTTAGCAATGTTCTTCTGAATGAATGGAACCTGAAAATGAGGAGAACACGGCCAGTCTTTCAGACATTTACTTTTTTGCTATAAGAAAATATTAACAGCCTTACCAAACTTCTTTGTTTGATGGATTGAGAACCACTGGACATTTGACGGGCAAATTCATGACCATTCTCAGTCTCCGTCTGAAAGATAAACATTTTTGGCTAAACGTAAAACCAGACAAAGAACAATATGTTTAGTAAATTTAACGTCATACCCGGTTATTGCGCTCATTTATACGACGGTTCACGGTGGTAGATGGGCCATCTGCTCTTCTGTAAGCACGTTCAGTTTTGTTCTGATTCGCATAAAATGCGTTAGAGAAGTTAAACTTGGAGAAAAATTGATTTTATTTTGTTACCAAGTTATCTCTTTGGTACCTAACGCTGTTCTTGGTGTCACTGTTGTTTACAATCAAAAATAGACTGAACGAAATGCATGAACTCTCTACCAGCTGTCTATCCTTTGTTCCATGCTAGCCATGACATATTTTTTCGATGAGTTCGCAATTATTGTCAGCATATTTTCATAATGAATCAGGCAGAACGTGAGGTCCCCGAGTATATTTTTTACACATCGTCAATTTTTAAATTCTCAGCACATGAACCTCCAAAAAAGGCACAGTTTGAACATTCGAAGTTTGATTTGCACACAGCACACCATTGAATGCGATTGTTTGCGCTAGACTTGAATGTAAATGGATTAAAGCGTAAGTGAAACTCCACCATTAAATTTGCCTATTTTTCTGAGTTTTAAATTTTGTTTAAAAATTGGAAAATCAACGCGCTAAGTGGGGAGGGAACAAGGTTTTAAATCCACTCACATTAGGCCTCTTATATAATTTCTGAAAAGCCTTAAATAGTTACAATCAGCTGCTTGATCATTTGCTGTAAAGCAGCGGTCAACTTTTAGCGAAACCCCTGCACGAAAGCATAACAAAAGTTGAATTACTTGAAAATTCCAGAAAGCGGCATCATCGGCGCAGATCCTCGGCAGCTTGTCTCCCTCAAGGAACGGGGAACGATTGCCTTTTGACCCTTTGACCTTTAGGTAGCAAAAAAATCGGGCTGAAAGTTCGCAGGGACCCACTAATCCTACCTAACGTAATAACGGATTCCTCTAAGTTATATTTTAGTTTGTTTGCAACAAACGTGACTCCGTGACCATTTAAGATCAGCGAAGGCCAATATTGGATTTCCAAGATGATGGCTTGATGGTATAACAGCACATTGCAAAACCTGAACGGGTGACAACTAATTTACACACATGGTGCTGAACAGGCAACCCAATCGAAATATTGTCAATATTTTAGACAAGTGTAAGACTTATTCAAGTTAACCTACTGTCGTTTGACTCTGATGACCACACCATAGTGAAATGTAAGATTGATCAGGCACAAATAAGCACTATTATACAAAGGTATAGATAAATGGATCGAAGAAAATTATTGCACAACGACTTAAAAATAACCAAACTGTAAAGCATTATTTTTAATACAGATAAGATCTCTTTCAGTGATTGGATTTTATTTCAATTGTTAGTTGCACCTAGATCAATTTGTGCATAAATTTATTTACCTGTTGCACTGAAAAATGCTGTTTCTTCCTGTTCTCCTTACTGTTTTGATTTTCTTTGAGAAAATGTTTTGCAAATTAAAGTGAACCGTCGTTTGAATTTTTGGCAGATTTCCCTACAAGTCGATTGCATCTCCTGCGTATTTGAATGAAATTGTATGTATAATATTGGAACTTAAATTTCTGTCGTAGATTTCATCTGGATTTTTGGTTGTGTGCAGGCAAATTCAACCATTTTAATTATTGTTTAATCCAAAAAGTGACATTTGCACTGTAATAAAAACCCCTGCTCCGCACAGTTACTAATTTACTAGGATTTAAGCTGTTCCGCATTTGATTTCTTAAGTTCCCAAAATCAAAAAAAGTTTAGCCATATAATTCAAATAATTTCTTTGTTATTTCTGAAATTATTGCTATTGTTGGTTTAATTTTTGACACATATATTTTCAATTAGACTGTAACTTACAGTGTACATCAGTCATTCGTGCTAAATTACTTAATTTACCTAAGCAAGGCATGGCCGAATTAATCAATCAAAAGCATCATTTCTTTAGCTTATTAATCGCAAATCTTAATTTCGG